AGTGTGAGGATGGAACTGACCCTGCAGTTAGTGCAGTGTGAGGATGGAACTGACCCTGCAGTTGGTGCAGTGTGAGGATGGTAGCTGGCCCAGCTCTTAATGATTCTGTGTGTCTGATAACTCAGTATCACTGAAGAGGCTCCCTGGAGGAGGGTGAACTGGGAACAATCTCACAGCAGTGATGACCCTTGCGTAGGCCCATGGGGACCTGCCCTTGTTTCCTTGCTGATACGCTGTGATTAGGATTTGCTTTCCAGGTGGCCCTGAGACCCCCAAGTCCTGAGGCCTCGGTGCTGGAAATGAGTTTGAATGAACTTCCTGAGTCAAGCACAGAAGCTGGGGTAGGAGTAAGCACATTGGGGGGGGGCACCTTCCCTCCTTACTGTCAACTCTTTCCTAGCTTCCTCTGTAAACTCAAGATTTGTTACTTCTGTGTGAGGCATGGGGCAGGTGTGTATCTTGGGGAGAAGCTGATTAGTCGAACTTGGGAAGCCCTGAGTCCGTCAAACTGCCTTCTTGTCCACACATTAGTTGTAAGACTGGATCAAAGTCACTGGGCCTGGCCTAGTCAATAGGTCTGACACTGGGGTTCCAATCATCTCTCCCCCTACCCTCCCACTCCACCTGCCACCTTCACGTTCTCTTTGATTCATCTGCTCTCTCTCTGTCTTCTTTAGAACGTGCTAATTATAGCTTTGCTCTGGGAAGCCCACACAGTATCTAGACATTGTCGCCAGGAAGACAGATGTATAAGGAGGTGAAAAGCCAAGCGTTGCTTCAGGTGTCAGTGTGGGAGGGGCAGACTGTGGTCCAGAAAGACTGCGGGAGGAGGGCCTGAGCTGTAGCTAATGGACAGGAAGGAGGGTGTCATGTGAGGAGGAGGGGTCTAGTTGGAGAATCATGGGAGAGCACATGAAGTAGGTGAGAAATGACAGAGCTACCTTCTTGGTATTGATTGCACTTGTCTTTGGTATTTTTTTAAAGCATGGATTACCAAAGCATACAGTTTTCTACCAAAGCATACGGATTTCTTCAACCATTTTTTTAGATTTTCTGTGTCCTCTCACCTTTTCATACCCAGGACTCTAATTATACATGTTAGCAATTTCTATTTTCCTACAAGATCACGTGGTACAAGATCAACATGGCACTTGTATTATTTGTTTGCTTGGCCAGCTAGCAATATTAGCCAGTCTGGTCCTTCTGATACGTTTTCTTCTTTTTTAAAATATTGTATTTTTATTTAAGTGAGTGTGTATATCTCTCTTTGTGTATTTGCCCAAATGTGCACATCCCAAGGAGGCCAGAAGAGGGCACCAAATCCCCTGGAGCTGGAGTTACAAACTTGTTATGAGCTGCTTTATATGGGTGTTGGGAACTGAACTTGGAACCTTTGCAAGAACAGCAAGTGCTCTTGATTGTTGGGACATCTCTCCTGAACCATCATTTACATATTTTCAGGCTCATGAATCTTTTCTTCTAATGTTTTAGATCCACACCATAAATTTCTGTTTTCAGATATCAAATTTATCCTTTCAATTTTTTCCTGACATTGTAACATATTTCATGTTTGCATATATTTTAACAGTGGATGGAGCTAGAAAAAACTCATCCTAAATGAGGTAACTAAGAGCCTTATAGACCAATAAAATGGTATGTATTTGCTTATATGCAGTTATTAGCTTTTAAGTCTTTGATAAGCAAGCTACAATCTGTGTAACCCCAGAGATTAGATACGGAATAAGGAACTGTGGGGGAAGGAAAGACTTTCCAAGGAAGAGGAAATAGAATGTAAGGCTATGGAGAGACGGAGGTGAGGGTGGTGGGTGAGACTGGAGTGGGAGCAAATGGAGAGGAGGGGGAAGGAAGAAGGCAGTAAGAGAGGGGAATACAAGGTGGGCAACTGAATCTAAGAGCCCTTTGAGCAGTTGTGTGGAAACCTGTTGCAGTAGAAACTTCCTAAAATATACACACACATGACATAATCTAAATGGAATCACTAAATAACAGGTGAACCCCAGCAAGACATCTCTTGCTACCAAATGAAACCTTCAATGCCAGGAATGAATCACATCTAACTGAGTTGTTGGTCAGAAGGGCCACTTGGAAACACCCCCCCAAACAACGCAGACTGTTGCCAAGGATATAGAGTGTTCCCCACAAACTGCTGATAAAGTTGCTATTGCTAAAGACTCTCTGTCTATGAAAAAGCTGAGCTGGTGCCTACCTAGAGATTTCGCACCTACTGACTAGGGTTCATGGTAGTGGAAGGTACTCTGTATGCTATCGGAAGAGAAAGGTAAACACCAACCTAGCTACAAACCCTCCAGTCTATGACGGTGACCTGCTTGCAAGATAAACTGGTGCAATAGTGGCACAAAAGTTATGGGAGTCACCAACCACTCTCTAATTAGATTTAAGGCCCATTTCAGGAGAGGGGACCCACGTGTGACCCTGCTCAGATAGCCAAAAATCTAAGACTAGATGGAACATGTACCTAGGGGAAAACCAAATACCAGTGTTCTGCTAAGGGAACATACAAGTGACTCCTGTCATCACTCTACTACTCTCATAGATCAGTGTCTTGCTCAGCCATTATCAGAGAAGCCTCCTCCTGCAGTAGATGCGAACAAATACAGAGACCCATAGCTGGAAAATGAGCAAAGAGTAAGAGACCTCAGAACACTTGGTCTTAAAAGTGATGTCTCCATCAAATCCCTCCCCCTCGGGGCTCAGGGAACTCTGCAAAAGAGGCAGAATTGTAAGAGCCAATGGGGATAGAAGAAACCAGGGAAGCAAGGCGTTCTAGATGCAGGAGGACTGACACACGTGTGATGCACAGGGACTATGGTAGGACGCGCAGGGTCTGCATGGTCTAAACTAGATGGGGACCCAGAACTGAGAGGGGAAGTGGACACAAGCCCCCATTCCTAGCTCAGATGTTATCACCAATTGATAACCATTTGCAAAGGAAAAAATAGTTTTCTCCAATGAAGTCTTGCTGGGTATACAAGCCACTCTTAAGGGCAGGCTCCACCCATGCCCAGCAGTAGACGGCCAGCACAAAACCAACTCAATGTTATTTTCGGAGGTATTTTTGGTTTTTATCTCATAATGCCACAGCATATTCAAGTGTCTGACCCGGGGTGCCTAGGACATCAGGATTGTGGGGAAATGGATTGCTGTGCACTAAGAGCCAAAGTTATCCCCAACTATTTATAGTTCCTTTTAATAGGCAATTCTCATCAACATCTGTACCCTACTAACCACTCGGTTGGAAGGCACGGCTAATCTTGCCAGACCTCATTCCTCCACCAACTCCGAAGCTAAGGCTGTGACAAATGCCTGAATCTTGTAAAACAGATTTACTCATTTTATAGCTTAGCTGAGGCTCCCACAAGGCCACTGGTACGTGAACTGTTGGGGACTTTCTTTTTCTACGTGACCATAACACGTAGCCTTTTCCATGGTGGAGGGTGTCATTTGGGGCCGCCTGGATCTGTCTTCTCTGGCCACAGCTAAGAACAGTGATGTACGTATTTCTTGTTAAGCACAGTTGTTACTTTATGCCAACACTCTTCTTTGGCTGTCTAGAATTTGGGGTTGGATATTGGCCATTTTGACATCATTATCTTGTTGTCTGGTCTTGGCAAGGCATGTTGTTGGGCTCTAGGGTTAGTCTAGTGCAACTTTAAACCAAAATGGGTGCAGTTCCAAGGACACTATGTGACGTCTCTCAGCTTCCCATGGCTCCTCCCCTTTGGATGGTCTTAACTGGAAGACATGATTTCCATTGTCTCAGTGCATCCAGGCATTTTTACTTATTTTCTTGGTGGGGGTCCTTTTATACTAATTTATAAGGCCAATCTGAGTCTCTTGGCTTTTGGACAAAAGTGTAACTCAAACCATCCCTGCATTTCCTAAATTTCCATCACCCATTTCCAGTCAGCACCACTCCTCAGAGGCAAGCTGCTCTTTTAATTCAATTTCAGCCCAGTGACCCGTTCAACAAGCACTCACAGAGCCTTTAGTGTTAGTCAAACAGTGGGGCAGCAGGGAGGACAAGACAGGCAAGAGCCCTGACTCACACAGTGTTCAATAACACACAGAGATGTGAAATCACAGCAGTGGTAATTGCTTTGCCAACAGGCTGATGGTAGCATAGAGAGACACCTACAAGGAGCCATTTTCTACCCTCACGTGGGTCGTCCAAGACAGCTTCTTGGAGGTAGTGTTATGACTTAGGACCTAAACAATGGATTGGAGTTCACTGGGGGAAAACTTAAAAAGAGATACTCCAGGAATAGGGTTTAATCAAAATCAACATGATTACTCAAAAATGGGGCAGAATAGGATTCAAGGAGTCTCGATTGAGGAGTTGAAGAGGCCCCACTGTGCCAGTTGAATGGCAGATCTCCCATCAGTGGCAGGCTACTGAGATTTTTGGGGGGGAGACAGTACCTCCCAACAAGACTTACAACGGAACCTTTATCTACAGCTGTATCAGTACCACCACCATCCACCAGGCTACCTGAGAGTCATCTGCACATAGACTCTTCCTCATTCTTCTCGACTTGACTTGCGTTATATTGACAAGACCGGTGATGGATGACCCTGGGAATGAGGAAGAGGCGGTGCAAGGATGGTTCTGGTGCTCCGGTGTGGAGGATAGGGTACCACTGATGCAGGTGCCAATAAAGGTTTGTCTGTGACTCTCATCAGGAAGCCCTTTGGGAAAGTTGATTCCAGCTTGAGCTACTGAGCTAGAACTCGCCTGTAAAGTCTGGAGGTGTTGGCAGGTAAGCAGTTGGGGATGCAGGAGTTCAGAGGGAAGGGACCTGGCTGGAGATGGAAAGTGCTCCGTCATTTACATCTCTTCACAATGAAGCTGTGGGTGTGGTGAGATCTGTGGGGGAGATGGAAGAGCTGCCAGCCAACAGCTGAGGCCTGCTGGCTTAAAAGGATCAGCTGGAGGCCTGGACCCCAGCAAGGGGAGGAGGAGGAAGAGGAGGAGCAGAGGTCTGAACAAAATCCAGCTGCCTAAGGGCTGACTGGAACAGCAGCTGAGGTCGCCTTTGTTGTCCTACACAGGGAAGGCAGGTGAGGTGAACATTCAGACACATTCACTGGGTGGGTCAGGACTCTGTGGTTATAGAAACCAGACTATGAGCTTAAAATGAGGGTACAGGGTCAGGGACGCTTAGGATGGACAAGGCGGCACCAGAATGCATGGAAGGGGGGGTGCATTTGGTTGTTGGGTTCTTTCTTGTGACTACACCTGAGCTTATTTAAAACCAGTATCCAGATTGGCGGGGAGAAGGCATATTGAGTACAGGAGATGGAGTTGGGGATTCCGGGATGGTGACAAGGGGAGTGGCAGCTGGTGGAGAGGGTGTGGAGGGAGAAGCATCCTCTCCCCCCCCCCTCCAGAGGCTGAGGAAGCTCCTCTGCTGAGGGTCTGTCTTTGATGTGGGGTAAGGGGAGGAAGGATGGTGGAGTGTGATCATACATATTTGCATGCATGCATGTCTGTATACATGACTACATGTGGCCTGTTTCTGGGGGCAGGTCTATTGGAAACGTCTTCCTGCAGAAAGTAAGTTGACCAGCAGAGGGGCCAACTTTCTTAGTCACGCTAGACAAAGGGGAGGCACATGAATGGGCTCCACCAGGCTATAAGAGCCACCAGGTTAGGCCACCTTACAAAAGCTGGGTCACCAAGTGGGGAAAGGTTGGATGGAACGCTCTGCACTCAGGCTGGATCAGGAAGCACCTGCAGCTGGGGATTGTGGTCCCCTATAGGACGACAGAATAGCTGGGCACCTACCGGCGATACTGGGCATACTGGAAAAGGACCCTGCGTGGCAGAAGCTTGGCTATTGCTTCTGAGCTCCAAGGGGACTGTGAGGGACTGGGAATGCTATGCCAGCTCCACATAAGGAAGTTGCCCTGTGTTCTGTGTGATGAGTGACAGGGATGGCAGGCATTTCAGTAATAGCCCTGGGAGACAATAGAGGGTGGGGTCGAAGCCAAGCTAATGGGAGGGATGGGCCCAGATGGGACAAGCCCAGCAAAGACAGTGTCCCCATCACCCCCAACAGGTGGAGCCCGCTGACAGGATATGCACTCACACCTGAGCTACAACAGGGCAGGGGAGAGGCCTTGGCAGGGCTGGGAAAGAGACAAGAGTTAGGACAGCCATGGAAGTACTGGCGCCGACTTCTGGAAGGCTGAAGAGGGAATAAGGCTGGATTTGAAAGCTGAGAGAATGAGCTTTGGCTGGTGATGTTTTCAGACTATGCTAACTGGGGTCTTGAGGAACCCCAGGCTTTTCAGGAAGGGCCTCTTTGGTACTTCCTTCCTCTGAGCTCCTGCAAGATGCTGCAGTCTGCCTGAGGTCAGAGGGACCGAGGCAGCCTCTTTCCACGCACAAAGCTCATACTCTCTTTATCTTCATCCCCTCTCTGATGGTCAGGAAAAGTCAGGGACAGTGTTACTTTCTTGCTTCTAAGTACAGAGCAAGAAGAAGAAACTGCTTCAAGCCCCTGCCTGTTGTGACCATATACATCATTCAGCCTATGCAGACATCATCTCTCCTAACATCAGGACCCCGCTCTGTGTCAGATGGGGACAGTGGAGTGATGGGGAGGTGAACCAATACTGAGCACAGTGGTGGGGAGACTGGTGCTGGGGAGCTCACAGTAGACAGCTATTACTGTCAAGTAGGGGCAAACAGATGGACATAGCATTGAGCACTGGGGTGGAAGGCAAAGGGAGAGGTCAACCCGTGGAGGATGTTTGTCTGCACTCCCAAGAGCTCTGGAAGCATGAGAGGGTGGAGATTCTGGGGAATGTTCTTGGGGGGGGGAGAGAGAGAGAGAGAGAGAGAGAGAGAGAGAGAGAGAGAGAGAGAGAGAGAGAGAGAGAGAGAGAGAGATACAGACAGACGGGAGAGTGAGAGAGACAGAGACAGACAGAGGGAAGAAAGAGAGAGGGGAGAGGGATTCCAGAGCTTCGGGATCATGCAGGAGAGAAGGAGGTGAATAGGGAAAAGAGGCGATAGTGGCAGAGTACAGTGTACAGCTTGCCTGGTACCCTGTAATGTGGTCTCTTGGAGAAGGAAGAGATTGAAGTCTGCTCGATCATCTTAGGGTCAGCATAGAGCCGACAGGAAAGCCAGGAAACCACCCGAGAGCATGGCTTACAGAGACAGTCCTGCTTCCAGACGTACAAGACTACAAAGCTGATTTATAAGTTTGTAAAGGATTCTCCACGCAGACCCTTCTAAGTCTAATCATATCAGATGTGGCAGGAAGTGCTCGGCCATCCCATGAGGTCAGGTGTGGCATAGACGAGTAACTATGTGGATATTTTTGCGGCTCTTCGCAAAGGGCCTTTCCCTTCCCCTTTCCCGTGTCTTATGAAATTGTTTCACTTGTGGCCAAATTCTTGTTTGGGGAGCAGAGCCTTTCCTTCCCAGTCAGAAGTGAAATACAGAGGTGTCCTCGTGACAAGAATAAGTGACGGCTATCTCACTGCGGTGTGAGTGACCAGCGAGCAGAGTGTGACAGAGGGTGAGGGGCTCATAAAAGGGCAATGGGGTGAAGGCTGTCTAGACCATAGAGAGGCGGCTTTAAAATAAAGAGAATGTTCTAGAAAAGATTTCAGAAGTTCATGACTTACGGGAACATGTGCTGTCTTCTTTTCTCCCCTTTGGTTTGGCCCAGATCCCACACTGCCATTTAGTCTTCTATCTCCCTCTTTCACAGGATCTCGGGGTCAAGCCACAGGGCCTCCGTGTAAGTATGTTAAAGCAGAATCCTTAAAGGTGGCGCAGGGGTAGTTTAGGAACTAAACAGGGCTAGGAAGCCTGGAATGATGGCTGCACGAAATTACCCTAAATCAAATTGTCAGAGTCAATTAAAGCAGTAGCAATGATGAAAGTCCCTTATTGGGTACCACTGTACCACTCGCAATTGCTTAACCCTGTAAGCTAGACTCCTGTTTACAAAGCAGACCTGGAAACTGAGGTCGGGATAGGTTCCCTGCCTGTGATGGATGTCAGAGTTAAGGTAGACCCAGTCCTGCTCTATTGGAGTGGCTTACTGCCACTAAGCCACTTAATCTTGTTGAGAGAGAAGATGACAACAGATCGAGCTTTGTATATCTCCCTCTCCCTCCCTCTCTGAGAGAGAGAGAGAGAGAGAGAGAGAGAGAGAGAGAGAGAGAGAGAGAATATACAGGTATATGAGTGTGCACGAGTGCATATTCCTCATGTGTTCCCGTGATGTGAAGTTCAGAAGAGTCACCTCGTGGGTAGCACCATCCACCTTGCTTTTGATACAGGGTCTCTTGCTGGGATAGCATCCTTCAGGTAGGCCAGGCTGACTAACTAGCAAGTCTCAGGGATCTTCCCACCCTTGCCTCTCCAGAGCTGGGATTACAAGGTTGCATCAACATTCCAGACATTTTTAAACCTGGCTCTGGGGATTTAACTCAGGTCCTCATGTTTGCAAAGCAAGCACTTCCGCTGACTGAGCTACCTCCCTAAGCCCTGGTTTTGCAAACCTTAATTGGCTTTATTTATAATGACAGAAGTAGGCAGCAGTCCAGACCAGAAGCCATTCGGCGTTTCGGCATTCTCCAGCTACCAGTCATGGTGGTACCCACCTGTAATCTCAGCATTTGGGGGGATGGAGGCAGGAGGATTACAAATTCGTGCCAGGCTGGGATACACAGGAAGACTCTCAGAAAGCAAGCAGTACAGTAAAATCCCACACAGACAGGTTTACCTCACAGTGACAGCAGGCACAGGTGAGCTGGGGACAGCCTGACTGATTTGTGACCACCTAATCGGACCATGGTTTGAACAGCTGGCTGGCTGTGATTGGCTAACACTCCCTCTGCTTTTTTACACTGGTAGGTTAGCTACAGTCTGTCCACATAAGAAGTTGAGTTACAGTTCGCTATGTATGAAGAATATTTAGGCCAAACTTAATTAACCTTAACCCTTTCATTCCCCACTCCTCACATTACAATTTCTTTCTAGTTGAGGCATGAGGGGAGGGGGCAGCCCTGGCTGGAGTCAGCTGCTCAAAAGCACCAGGAAGCTCCAAGTTCCAACAGTTTGTTATGGGCTTTTCCTTCCCTACCATCCTTTCCTCTTCCCTTCTCTTCTCCTTCCCTCCCCTCCCCTGCTTGGAGGGGAATCTGTAGCTCAAGCTGGTCTGGAGCTCATGGCCATCCTTCTGCCTCAGTCTCCCCAGTGCTGTGGTTACAGGCGCACCTTATCATACGTGCCTGCCTCTTTTTTAGAGAGTCTTACTACGTCTCCCTGGCTGGCCTGGAGCTTTCTATGTAGGCCAGGTTGGCCTCAACCTCACAAAGATCCACCTGCCTCTGCCTCTACCTCCCTAGGGTTGGAACTGTATTCCATCCGGGGAGGGTCTCATAGCCTAGGCTGGACTTGAACTCCAATGTAGTAGAGATGACTTGGAATTTCTAATCTTCCCACTGATACCTCCCAATAGTGTCTGGATTGTAGGTGTTTGCCACACGTCCTGTTTATGTGATGTTGGGGTGGAACCCTAAAATTTAGTGCATGGTAGGTAAACACTCTACCGACTGAACTACAGCCCCAGACCCTGGTGTCCATGTTTCCAGAGGCATGCATGCATCAGGAAATGCATGGGCCTAGGAGAGACAGGGTAGGGAGGCAATGATGCCATCCATCTGGAAGGGATAAGAATATTTAGAGGCATCTGTGAAGGGCTGGCAGTCACTTCTGACTTTGCTTTGGTCCTCATGTTTGCAAGGTAACAACACACTTTTAAGGTCCTGATGGTTTCAAGCATAAATGAAGTCATCAGAAACAGTGAAAAGCCTGGGTTTGGAATGGAACTCTAACTGGTACCCTACTTAGCATACAGCCTCACCTATGACCTGCACTGAGTTACACAACCACACCCTCATGAGGCCTTCTTGCTCACTGTGGGATCAGAACATACACAGCACTGACTTGGCAGGATTTCTGAGAGGCTCAAATGAGACTCCATGGAAGAGTGGGAGGCCCCACCTGGGCCCTCAGCTTACCTCCCCACAATGGGACCCTTCTGTTTTACAGACTTCCTTCCTTCCAAATGGGCTCTTCCTTTTACCGAGTTCTCCTATTGGTTGGCGTCACTGCTCCAATCGTCTGCATGTCCTCATCCAATTCCAATCTCAGCAACAGAGAGTCCCCCCGCCCTCCCTCCATGAAGAGCAACCCAGCCTCTAAGGTGTCTCCCAGCAACACCATGTTTGCCTTCTCTCTGTACCAGAGACTGGTTCAGGAAAACCCAGGTCAGAATGTTCTCTTTTCTCCTGTGAGCATCTCGACTTCCCTGGCCATGCTGTCCCTGGGGGCCCGCTCAGCCACCAAGATGCAGATCCTCCGGAGCCTTGGCTTTGACCTCATGAGCACACCGGAACCCACCATCCATCTGGGCTTCGAGCACCTGGTGCACTCGCTTAATGTATGCCACAAAGACCGGGAATTGAGGATGGGCAGTGTCCTCTTCATCAGGAAGGGGCTGCAGCTGCAGGCCAGTTTCCTGGACAGGGTCAAGAAGCTTTATGGGACAAAAGTCTTTTCCGAAGACTTCTCAGACACTGACACTGCCCAGGCACGAATCAACCGCTATGTGGAGAAGGAGACCAAAGGGAAGGTGGTGGATGTAATCCAAGACCTTGATTCGCAGACCGCCATGGTGCTGGTGAACCATATCTTCTTTAAAGGTGAAGTCGAGTTTCTCTTTTCTTCATTTCTCTTCTCTTTTTTTCCTTTCCCTTTCCTTCTCATTTACTTTGGGTGTTTTATTTGTTTGTTTGTTTATCTTTTGAGTCGGGTTCTTATGCATTTCAAGATGGCCTCCATCATGCTGCTGTAGCTGAGGCTGACCTTAAACGTCTGATTCTTCCTGCCTCCACCTCCTTAGTGCTGGGATTATAGGTGTCTTCACCACACCCCATTTATGCAGTGGGGACTGAACCCGGGGTTCTGTGCCTGCTGGCACAAATCTACTGCTGAAAGAGACACAACCCTAGCCCACCGCTGATTTACATTTCTTTTCTTCTTGGTGTTGTGTAGTCAAGGAGACCAGTATGTAAAACAAGTCCTAGACAGCAGGGTGTGCCTGAGCTCTCCTCAACTTTGCAAGTAGCTACCTGCGCATCCTTGGCAGACTTCTGTTCTCTCTCCCGATGCCATTCATTCATTAACCTGGGGCCTCACTCAGTTCTGCCTTAGCGTGAACCAAGAGGCTGTGCTAAAGACTGGGCTGACACTGTGTTCAGCAAAGAGGACCCCAAAAAGTGCTCTATTTGGGAGAAGAGGAATTTGTATTTTGCCACCAGGCCCTGTCTTCCTACTACTCCCTGTCAACTTCAGAGCAGTGGCACAAGGGTCCCTGGCAGGCCAGTTTCAAAAGCCGTCCCAAGGGTGAAAACAGCAGCAAATGTTTGGTAGTGTGGTCAAGCTGGTCCATCACTCTCAAGAGCTTCGCTGTTTATGAAGACGCCGTCATGAACGGCACTGTTCCCAAGCAGTCTGAGCATCTGTTTTGAAATCACACGGCCCTGGGTTTCAGTTCTACCCCTGCCTCTCTCTTGCCCCAAGGTGTTAAGTGTATTGCTGTAAAAAGGTCTGTCAATGACTAAGTGCCCCCTCTGTTTCTGTCTGTGCTGCTCGGCTGGGCAGTCACTGAGCACACAGGGCCTCACAGGACCGTGCCTGACATGGAGCATCTTGACATCAGAGCTATGTGGGCCACTGTGTCATGGCTTCTCCCACTTCCCACCTTTCCCTTGTGCCTCCTTCCCTCCCTCCGTCCTCTGTTTACCCAACCGCCAGTTCATCCATCCAGCTTTTCTTCCATCCATCCGTTTTTCTTTTAACCCATCCAGTCTGCCCATTAATCTAGTTATCCATCCACACATTTACCAAACACAGAAGAGAGGGAAAGAAAACTGAGCTGTTTTCCTTCATTGGTGAGTTATCTTCATGTGCTGTTTTATCCAGCTTGGTTTATTTCTAATGAAGGATCATGCACACAGCATATGTGTCCACGTCAGTGTCTTTGGCTCCTGGCATATTCACCAAGTCACTCACATCTGTCTATTGTCTGGTGTTTCTCAAGACAGTGTATTAAGGAGCACTGTTCCGACGTCAGGTGAGCATCGGCTCTGAAGACAGTTATCAGTCACTCTCTGTAATTCCACAGCATGTTCTCCTCCCCAGAAGGAAGACCCCATCCCCCCAAGAAAGAGGGCTGTCCCCCAACTCCTGCTCTACCCGCCCAGAGACCAGTACCCTACATTATGTTTCTGCAATCTGCCTATTTCATACATTTCAAATCAAGTAAATGAAACGATAGGATTCCAGGCCACATCAGGCCCAGACTTTTGTGTTCATGTTTAACAGTATCGTTTTCTTTGCTGAGTGAGGTCTGTTGTTCATGGTGTGGATCCATGCCACTGTCTCAGTCCAGTCCGAGGGGCTCCTGGAGCACTGGCAAAGCTCCTTTATTCCGTTTTATCCAACTACTGTTTGATCCTCATCTCTTCTGATAGGAAACCATTTGTTGGTCTTATTGAGGCCACCTGAAATGGAACCAGTCACTTGTGAATCTTCTTTGCCTTTTGACTGATTGTGCTAAGTCTGGGAGTGGAAATTGTTGATTGTTAAACCAAAGTTTGGGAGCTTCCGGGTGTTACTTCTTCCCATAGCTTCCCTCTCCTTTTTTCTCTCTCCTCCTTTTGGGAGTCCCATGATGGGCGTGTTTGCTATGCTTGGCTGTGTGTCCCAGGTGCCGGATGTGTTGTTGGTTTCCCTCCATCTTTTTTCTCAGTGTTCCTCAGATTATACACTTAACTGACACATTTTCTAGCTCACTGGTTATTGTCTTCCGTTAGCTCTGATTGGCTGTGGAGTCTCTCTAGTGAACCTTTCATTCCTGTTAGCGTATTTTCTAACTCTAGACTCTATGCAATGGCTTCAAATCATTTCTTTTATTGTGGGCAGATGCTTACTTAAAACAGTTTCTTTTAGTTCTTTGAGCATGTTCAAAATAGCTGCCTTGACATGTTTGACTAATAGGGGCCATATCTGGGCCAGCTTCCCCCACCTCCTAATGTTTGGGGCATACTTTCTTGTTTCTTTTCCTATCCCCTTTTTTGTTTTCTTAAAAGTATTTTGTTATTTACTTTTAATTATGTGTATTCACTTATGCGGCTTGTGGTATTTGTACACAAGTGCAGTGGCCTGCAGAATCCAGAAGAGGGCTTCAGTCCCCTGGAACTGGAGCTATAGGTTGGGAGCTGAAGTGGGTCCTCCGGAAGAGCAGTGAGGGCTCTTAACCTCAGAGCCATTTCCCTAGTCCCCTTTGTGTGTTTTCAGCACAGCATTGTACACAATGGAAATCGATTCTAGACATAAAATCCCCCTTCCGGAGAGTTCATTCTTGTTGCTGTTCATTGTGGCAATTGTTTCCTTTTCTTTCAAACAAATTCTTTAACATCACAGATGTCCTCTTGTCTGGAAGATCCCCAATCTTTGCAGCGGGTCACCGCATGCGCATTGCACCTCGCCATCCACACTCAGCTAGGCAGTCTATCATTTTGGCTCACCCTTCATTTGCTGTTTGTGAACCCCAAGACCAGCTGGCGGTGAGAGCTCCGAAATACCTAGAGAGTTTCCAGGCTGCCAATAGCTCTGCTCATGTCTGGGTCTTCTGCATGCTTGAGATATGCTGGAAGTTTCCAAATCTCCTGTAAACATTGGATTCTTTAGGCAATTTTGTTTATTTCTCTTTTTCTTACCTCTTATCCACCCTCTACGCAGCCAGGAAGTGAGGACACTGGCCTGTAATTGCATTTGGAACACACTCCCACACCTATAGGCAGAATAAACCTCAATCAGTTGTGTGACCCCCCCCCCCCCGTGCAGATCACACCATGATAGTTCTTCGAGAGTTCTTCAGTAATGACACATCGAACCCCCACCCCCGCCGGACTCTATTCCTGTTTCTCTGGTTGCATTAATCCAGTCTGCAATCCTTCTAGACTACCGCTGAGCTGTAGGGTGGCTAAAGGATGGGCCAGGAAAAGTGTCACAAAGCTGGCCATTCACATCAAGATTCTGCCATTTGTCTTGAATGAACTCTCCTCAGGGCACCATAGGGCTGTGGTTGCCAGAGCTCTAAAAGACCAGGGCATTGTTTAGGGAAGGGTAGATATGTAGAGGTATACTCATGTTGTCATTTGGGTTGGTATGGGCTTCCTCCTCGCTTCTCAGTTCGTCCTCTTAAGCTTTGTGGTTGGTGTCTCAACTGTTATGTACTGCCGGAGGTGTTTCAAGACTCCGCCTGCCACTGTCTTGGCAATTGTTGCTGGGGAAATGATATTTGCCTTGACTGAACTCCAAGTCAGATTAAATACAGACAAATTTTATAAGTCATTCCTTTGGTATTGTAGGAGGCAGGTCAGATAAAGACAATTCTTCGAGAATGAGTCTATGGTTGTTGTTGTTTTGAAATATGTTCTCTTTCTGTAACCTGAGATAGCTTCAGACTCACAATCTTCCAGCCTTGGCCTCCCAAGTTCATGATTACAGCTGTGAGCCACTATGCCTGACCGGGAATGAGGTTGTAAAGTGTTCCAGCCCCGTCCTGATTTCACTGCAAATGTTGGTTGCTATTTTCCACAGCCATCCAGAGCAGAGAGCGGAGTCTAGAACCAGAGCACGCTAGAATACCAAACTTCATCACTCCACAATTATCTAGAGTGGAGTCTAGAACCAGAGCACAATAGAATACCACAAACTTCACCATTCCACAATCATCCAGAGCAGAGAGTGGAGTCTAGAACTTGAGCACGCTAGAATGCCAAACTTTACAACTTCTAGCCAGACACGGTTTTTTTCTTTCATGTTTTGTTTCTCAACTACAAGGATTTATATATTGTCCAGAGTTAAAAAGTGAATTGATTCTGACCGTTGTTGGCAGGGTGTGTGTGTATACTGTAAGGTGTGCGTGTCTCTGTATGTGTGCAAGTGTGTGTATGGTGTGAATATCTTGTATGATGTGTTTGTGTGATGTGATCTTTGGGGTGTATTGTAGTTGTGTGTGTGGAAGTGTATATGGTGTGTGGTATGTATTATAGCGTATGGTGTGCGTAGGTGAAAGTGCATGTGAGGGTGGGTGGGTGTGGTATGTGCAGGGTTATTTGTGTGTATGAAAGCATGGGTGTGGTGTGTGCAGGGTATTTGTATGTGTGTGTGTGTGTGTATGAAAGCGTGGGTGTGGTATATGTGGGGTATTTGTGTGTGTGTATGCAAGCATGGGTGTGGTATGTATGGGGTATTTGTGTGTGTGTGTGTGTATGCAAGCATGGGTGTGGTATGTATGGGGTATTTGTGTGTGTGTGTGTGTATGCAAGCATGGGTGTGGTGTGTGTGATATATTTGTGGTATGTGAGGTATGTGGCGCATATTTGTGGTGTGTGTATGTGGCATGTGGTGTGTGTGGTGTATGATATGGGTATGTGAGTATGGTATGTATAAGTGTATGGTATATAGTGTGGTTATATATGTGTGTGTGTGTGCATTTGTTTGTGCCTCTGTGTGTGAAGTGTATGGTGTGTGTGTTTTATGTATATATATATATATATATATATGTGTGTGTGTGTGTGTGTGTGGTGTGTTACATATACCTGTGTGGGTGTGTTGTATGGTAGGTGTGGTGTGTGCATGTGTATGCATGTGTATTGGGGATTAAACCTGGGCCTAGAAATTTAGTCATAGTTGTTTTTTATGGAGAAATGAGTTTTTAGGGGTCCTCATCCCCCCCCCCCCGTCTTCACCTGGCAGACGGCAGGGATATAAACCCCTCTCTTCTTCTGCACTGACAGAACCCTTCCCTCTCTTCTTCCCTTCTTTCTCCATGCTAGCCAACTGGACACAGCCCTTCAGTGCGGCCAATACCATCAAGAACTTCCCATTCCTTCTGAGCCAGGGCACCACTGTGCACGTCCCCATGATGCACCAGACGGAGTTGTTTGCTTTTGGAGTGGACAGAGAGCTGGACTGCTCTGTGCTGCAGATGGACTACAGGGGAGATGCCGTCGCCTACTTTGTCCTCCCTGGCAAGGGCAAGATGTGGCAGCTGGAGAAGAGTCTGTCAGCCAGGAGGCTGAGGAAGTGGAACCGCTCACTCCAGAAAAGGTGCGCACTGCGGGCAGTTTGCCGGGAGCTGTTCAGCCAAGGATGGGTGGGTGCAGGACGGGGAATGTGGTAGCCTGTGTGCCGAGCCTCCGCTGCCTGCCGGATGGTGGATCTGATGCTGTGTTCACAGGACACCACAGCTTCATCATCCTCCGATTCCCTTCCCTTCCCTTCCCTTCCCTTCCCTTCCCTTCCCTTCCCTTCCCTTCCCTTCCCTTCCCTTCCCTTCCCTTCCCTTCCCTTCCCTTCCCTTCCCTTCCCTTCCCTTCCCTTCCCTTCCCTTCCCTTCCCTTCCCTTCCCTTCCCCACTTTCCTAGAGGGAAACTGGTTCCTTGAGGGTAAGTGAGTGTATCAATTACCTTTCTGTTAGGTGACAAAACACCATGATCCAGGCAGAAGCCATTCACTTCTAGTTACCGTTCCAGAGGGATAAGAGCACATCAGGGCAGGGAGGCATGGCAGGAAGTGGTAGGCGTGGCAACGGGAACAGGAAGCTGGGAGAAATATCAAAAGCAAGCATGGAGCAGAGAGTGAATTGAGAGAAGGGTGAAACTTCAAATTCTTTTTTTTTAATTGGATTTATTTATTTTTATGTATATGAGTATTTTTCCTGAATGTATGTCAGAATACCATCGGATTCCCTGGGACTAGAGTTACAGAAAGTTATAAGCTACCATGTGGGTGCTGGGAATGAAGCCCAGGTCCTTGGAGGGGGGAGGCAGCCAGTGCTATTAACTTCTGTCATCTCTCTAGCCCAACATTTTCAATGTTTTATAATATATGTCTTCTTCCAATTTTTTCTTTTTATTAATTTTATTGAGCTATACATTTTTTATCTGCTCCTCTCCCTGCCTCATCTCTCCTCTTCAACCCTCTCCCATGGTCCCCGTGCTCCCAATTTACTCAGGAGATCTTGTCTTTTGCTACTTCCCATGTAGATTAGATCCATGTATGTCTCTCTTAGGGTCCTCATTGTTGTCTAAGTTCTCTGGGAAAACTTTAACCTCTTTTTTTTTGACATATATATTATTTATTATTTGAGTTATCAAAATAATAATTTAGATTTTTATGTCTTTACTACATTCAAAGACCTTAAAATTATCTGCATGCAAATCCACAACAATGGACACTCAAGTGACTGTAACTTTAGCCGAGGTGGGAATTTTTAATAAATAAATAAAAAAAAGATCTTTCCAAAGAACTTTAACCTCTTGAAGCCCACCCCAGTGATGTCCTTCCTCCAGCAAGGACTCCCCCATAACCTCTCCATGCAGCACTGCCAACGGGGACTAAGGGTTCTGATGCCTGGGCCCGGGGGACATTTCTCATTCAAATCACCACAGTGGATCACCAAGGTCACGCATGCGAAGCTATTCTGTCACCGTGGTATTATATCCAAGTAGAGGTCACCCCAGAAGCCAAGCTGATGTTGAGTTTTATGAAATTATGTTTGTAAGAGCAGGAAAGCAAACCAGTCAAGGTCCTGGCACTCACTTGTCAAGTGAGGGCCACGGTGTCACTGAGTCCCCAGACTTAGAGGCTGCTGAAGCCACTTTGCTACTTAGAAAGTGGCAGAGAACATGGGCGGTTGTAAGTGCCTAATGAACATCAGCTAACAGCAATGTTGTTAGCTCCGCACAGACTGAAGAGAATGAGGATATTAATCATATGATACAAAAGATACTGAATATTTGTTTCACTCTCCTTACGTGGCTTCCCTGTCATCTTCACCACCCTTGGGTGTTGGTCATCTAAGAGGAAAGAAAAGACAAGTCTGAGAATAGGAGTCATTTAAGTAAGACAGGGACCCATGTCTCAGGAAGGCAGGCAAAGTGCGCAGGAGCTCATGAGCAGAGGGAGCTTGCTTTTGGAAGGGGTGTGTTTCAATAGGGCAGTGATGATCAGGCAATAAACATGGGCATACAGTGATGGTCTCTTATTCAAATGGAATATCACAGAGATTTCAAAAGAGCAAGGAAACTTTCTTCAAAGAAAGGTGACAATACAGATCAGAAAGCAACAGGCTGGCAATGTGGGTAGTGGGCCACACAAATGGGGATACTCAAAGGCCCTATTGTTTGAAGCATCCTTTTAAGGCTCAAGAGGAGGAGGAGTTTGATTTCTAAGGGCATAGCAGGGGTGCTCCCCTGTTTTGATTGACAGATTAGGTCAGGTAGTCAATCATTTGTTTGCTGCTCATATCTCGTCTTTATAATGCTTCTCATTTTAATCATGTGCATACCTAATTGTGCACAGACATAAATTGCTAAATAGGGAGCCCTCCTTAAAAGTTCACAGATTTTGTCTTATTTATATGCATCCAAAACCAGTCTAGGCTAGACAGGCCCATTGCCCATAGTTCCTGTGTCAGATTCTTTAGGAGTCACGTGTGGCCAGTGGTGATCATATAGAACAAGATAGTGTAGGCTTACTCCCAGCAAAGGTAATCTATTCTGGGGGCTTTTGTCGCTATGGGAGAGTAGCGGGGCTGCTTGTCTCAGGAAGTCCTGCTGGGCACGGCCAGGTTATATGGTTGGTAGGTGAGTTGCCATCTTTTCCTAATGTCTCTCTGATCTCTGCTGTGACCCAAGCTGAGCCATTATCTCATCCCTAGTTCTTACTAGGGTGCTTTATTCTGATCCCCAGAGATGGACTTGCTCAGCGGGGAGGCTCATAGATGGAGCAGCGTGGTGGTTTGGGGCTGGCACATGGGGACGGCTTTAGCAGTCACCAATGTGCTGGAGAAAGAAGAGTCTCCGAAACACCACATGGAAACCAACGTGGAGACATTATGACCCCAGCTCTTCCCTTTCGGTTCTCCATAGGTGGATCAAGGTGTTCATTCCCAAATTTTCCATATCTGCTTCCTACAACCTGGAAACCATCCTCCCCAAAATGGGGATCCGTGACGCCTTCGACGCAAATGCTGACTTTTCTGGAATTTCAAAGACACGCTTCCTGCAGGTTTCTAAAGTGAGTTGCTAGAGAGGTTTGTAAGAAAGTCCGTGCTGGAAGACAGCTCACAAAGGACTCTCACCTTACTGAGAAGGTGACAGACTATAGAAAAGCAGAAGCACTTAATGGCCAAAGGAAAAACTGGGTGTCCATGGCTGCCGGGCCCGGGCCGTTATGGCCACCACAATCTAACTCACAGTACCCATAATCCCTCTCCAAGCAAATAGTCTTTGCTTAGAGATCTGTTGCCAGCAAGCAACACTGTTGGCACACACCTGCCGTGGAAGAGCAGAGGGCATTGGGTTTCCCTTCCTTCCCCACACAGTTGAACTCCCAAGCAGGTGTAATGACAGCCACTGCCAGGTGCCTGTGGATGGGGTGTTTGCACTGAAGTGGGGAGGAGTCTGGATATAAAATTCCCGATTTTTGGTTCTCTTCTGAGGGACTGTTGAATTCCCTTCAGATATAGTAATTGTTGCATCTGAAGACCCTTAGCCTGGCAGGTGGCCCAGGCATTCCCGTCCCCCACAGAGGGTCTCCTTGTTCACTGTCTAGCCTCTGTCCACATCCAACTTTAGAGCCAAAGGTTTTTGGTCCTTGACTTAATGTGTTAATTTGATAATGGGCTGTGATGGTCAGATGTGGTTCTGGGGACATTTTTGTCACTGGTCCCCAGGGAAGAAAGGCTGAAAGGTCCCCACAGGATATGATGAACCCAGTAGAGCTTTACCCAAGGGGAAACACTCATAAGCACCTGGGAAATTAAATGCCTGTCCTCGCAGGTGGTTCCCAGCCCATCCCGCAGCTTGGCCATTGGGCGCAGGCTGAAACCTCAGCCCTAGAAAAGAAAGTGGCCACAGTCTTTGTTACTCCAGGCTCACGTCACAGCTTTTGTGGGAGTCACTGACATCTGTCCCCCTCTTCCACAGGCTGCTCACAAGGCTGTGCTAGACGTCAGTGAGGAGGGGACAGAAGCCGCGGCAGCCACCACCACCAAGCTTATAGTCCGCTCAAAGGACAGTCCCTCTTCTGTCATCTCCTTCAACCAGCCCTTCCTGATACTGCTCTCGGACAGGAGCACAGAATCGATTCTCTTCCTAGGGAAAGTTGAGAATCCCACGAAGATGTAGGTGGGACGCGAACTCTTGGCTGGTCCCACACTGGTGACGCGAGAAATAAGGCGTGTATTGGATGGTGTTTGCAGGGTGATGTCAAGACTTACTTCCTTGCTTGAGGCCCACTTGACCCTAACAGGGGTACATTTGCCTCAGGGCTGGCACACCAAGCCTGGTCACCCCAACAGTGGTCCCTCTTACCTGTTCTCGTAGCCCTTTCCAATAGCGTGGCAGAGCAGTCAGGGTTCCATCCCTCAGGGCTCTTGAGAATGAGGCCACACAGAGCTCAGTGCCCTTTTACTTTTATTGCTGGCTTCCAGCACTGTGTTCAATAAATCTGAGATGTGAACACAGTGACCTCTGACCCCACCGCACCCCATCACCAGGGTCCTGTCTGAAAATGCGACATTGCTCACCTCTGAGTGGTTGGGTGGTCAGTCGTGTTCATTTGTTGGGCCCATTGAGCACTTCAAGGGCAAGGTTCCTGGCATGCTGGGTCTAGATGGGAGAGAGACCATCCAATAGGGATGAAATGACACTGTGGATAAAGACATGACAAATTCGGGTAAGTGTCATGGAGGCTTCGTAGGACAGTCAGGACACTCACAGGAGAGGCAAGAGGGGGTTATGGGGTTTTGCAGTGAGCCAGCATCAGAGGGACAGTGGGGAGGCCCTGCAGCTGGAGCATCGTCTGCCAGAGATGCAAAGGTAGACACTGGCACTTGGGTAAATGGAGAGGGGACTGCACAGGAATGCACACTTCCCAGGAAGACCACCTAAGCCATGAAAGGCTCCAGGGTTTCTGGGGCAGGAACATACAAAGTGTCAATGCAGTACCGGTTGTAAAGACCCCTTCAAATGCAGCCATCTTTCTGGCTTTGTGACACAGTCCTCGAGCACACAGCCTCTCCCTGGCTGTGGCTGTTTGTAGTGACCACAGTCTGGTGTAACCTGGAAGGCACACTGAGTGCCCTGAGACCTGGAGACTCCACGGCAGAGGCCACTCATCACCTTCGCCTCATTCCCCACTGTCCTTTCTGCACCCACCGCCGGGTGTTCCGTGTGGGCTCCTGGCCACTTCATTTCTCAACACTGAGGTGTCCTGTCCACCTCCGGCAAAGCTAGAGTTCATTTTCTGGAGGTACTGGTGCCCCGCGACCCCATGTGTGTCACCCAGGGGCCCAATGCTTGCTTTCCCAAGCTGGTTTTCCCATTTTCTGCTACATAGAAAAGAAACAAAGAAAAAACCTTTATCCTGGGGACTGCCACAGGCTTTCAAAAAGAAAGTTGGGTGGGGTGCCCTCTGCTGGTCAGGAAGCAAAACGCAGGTAGGAAAGCTTGAAGGTTGCATCTGTGTTGTGGATAGGAATTACCCCCATGAGCTGGCCCAAGACCTCAAACTCAGCTACAGAATGTCAATAATGACTAAGGCTGCTGGCATGAGTGTCTCACCCAAGACGGCCAACAGTATTCTAAAGGCAGATGTAGCTAGTGGAGCCCAGGGAGAGTAGAGCATCAAAACAAACAACTATAGATTCCTGGTCCTGAAGCCAGAGCTCCAGGTGCTGCCTGTTCATCCAATTCCAGAAGCACAATGTTTCAGGCTGCGGTGGTCAGACTGTTAGTTAGACAAAGAGAAGCTTCTGCGTGTCTTCGAGGGGTTATGTAGATGAGGTCCATTGAGGTAGAAAGGCTTAAGGGGGAAGGGTGCCATTCTTTGGGCTGGGGTGTCTGACTAATTGTGAAGGAGAAACCCAGACGTGAGCACTCACTGCTCTCTTCCTCCTGGCTCCGGATGCAATGCGACCACCTGCCTCTAGCTAGGCCACTGAGACTTCTCTGAACTCTACCTCGAGCCGTGAGGCAGAAAGAACCTTCCCTTTCTTTATCTGGTTTTGCCAGGCTGATTTTTGGTCACAGCAATAAGATAAGTAGCCATCACCGTAACCACGCTCTGCATCTCACACACCGGGCGCTTCTTCAGCAGAACGTCTTTCTTTTTCCGCATAACCATTGGCTATGCTTGTTGTCTATTCTGCTTGGCCAAGGTTTGCAGAATATGAGCTCTCCAGTGCTAAGCAGCCTTCAGAGTGGACGGCTGAGCTTGCTGCATGGTAGCTACCTAAGCACCTTAGAATGTAAATAGAAACAATGGCCATGCATTCCCGTTTGTGCAGGAATATTTTAAAGAGCATTGTAGAGCATTGGGCACCCTGCCCAGGGCACCAGGCATATGGAATTTCTAAGTGGATGTCCGTTCTTCACTACCTACTTAGTGAATCAGTCTGCAGGCAGGAGCAGCCCCAAGGCTGGGGTGTGCTGAACTCCCACATTAAGAAGCTTGCCGTGAGGCAGGAGGAGAGGAAGGCACGGAGGAGAGGAAGGCAACGGGAAGATCTTCAAGTGCAGGGACGTGGCTTCAACTGTGTCTCTGGCCTGCAGGACACGGGTAAGAGCTGCCTCTGCCATCTGACACTGGGAACCTCACATGCAATGCAGGTTTCTAGCATACAGGCAAGCGGCAGAAGGGACTGAGCTCAGGATGGAGGACTTACAGAGGGGGTTTCAGTTCAGACTTTCTCAGGCAGAATGGAAAAGCAGTCCTGCCCACCCCTGACTGTGCACGCTTTGGGACTCTGTTTAATATCCATGAGCTTCCTCCCCCAACCCCAAGAATCCATGGCGCCCATGCCATTAAGTTTTCAAATGAGCAAACACACTGTGAATTTTGAGGAAGACTCACCCCAGATAATTGGTGCAGTATACACCGCCTGTGTATACAGCTGCTCTCTTATCGCAGCTAACGCTCGAAAGGTGGGAAGCAAGGATGTTTCTGATAAGCTTATTCCCCACCTGGCAGCTGTGGAGAAAGGCAGGCATTGATGCAGAATGCCATCCTGACTTCTGCCCACCACCCACATCCCCACTTCCCTGTCCTCCGAGGCATCTATGACACCTCACACCCAGCATCCTCCGTCCTACCTGGAGCTCAGAACTGGCTGCAGCAGAGGGTGCCCTTCTGCTCCGTGGTGCGTGATTGCTTTCCGGTGGTAACACACCCCCACTCTGCAGCCCAAAGGAGCCCTCATGTAACAAGTTTGGGGGACAATGATAACGTCACCTGCTTTGTGATGGCTGTGAAGATTGATAACATGGCTCAGGTGTGTGGCCTGGGGCCCAGGGTGTGGTACAGGCTCTGATCGGCACAGGGGTGCCACTGTCGCTGTTCAAAACCACAAGCCATTTGTCCAAAGGTGACCTATAAGTCACATTTCCTTCCTCCTCTGTCCCAGGTGGCTATGCCAAACTGGCAGAGGTGTAACCTTGGAAGAAAATGTGAGCTTCTTTTATTATTAATCAAGTTTGTTCTTAGACAATTTTGTATAAGTATACAATGCGTTCTGGTCTCTCTCTCTCTCTCTCTCTCTCTCTCTCTCTCTCTCTCTCTCTCATCCTTTTTCACTTTCTTCCCACTCCAGTCAGCACCTTTTTTTCCTTTCGAGTATTTCCCCCAGTATTTACTAGTTCCTATTTCGTTTCATGTCCCACGGAGTTTAACTAAGGCCATCTGTGTGACCCTGAATTTGGAACAAACTCACCACCGCAGCCTGGCACACTCACCAGTGGGTACACAGTTGAATAACATGTCATCAATAGGTCATCAAAGTGAGAAAGCGAGTTTCTGTGTGGAAAAGAACATGTGTGCATTTGCAGAAGACACATGTGCTTGCCCCGTGCCAACACATCAGATACAAGCTCCAATTAGGAGCAGGCTGTGTCTACAAAGATCTCATAGACCAAGGGGAAATGAAGCTCTTTGCAAGCCAGCACGAGAAGTAGGGAGTGCTACAGGCATTGAGGGGGGGGCGGGGATTAGCACAGCCCAGGCAGGCAGGGAGCAGGTGAGCCTGAGAAGCAGACAGCAGACAGGGTGGGGATGGCATTCTAGGCAGGGGACAGGGTGTGCACAAAAGAAAACAAGGCTCCTTTGCTTATCAGTGATTGTTGGGGTGGAGCAAGAACAAAGTTTCAGGGGTGGGAGGTGAGGTATGAGGTTGGCAGGTGGGTAACAGCATCACCAGCATCCAAGAGAAAGGGGCGCGCTGGCTACGGGAAAGGGGGAAATGAACATATTGCAGAATGGAGAACAGATAGGTAAGGCCTGGCCTCCAGTGAGGAGGCAACCCAGGAGGGAGATGAAGGTTAGTGCAGCTGGGGCTGGGATCCAGGGCTCTAGAGAAGAATGTGGGGCAGGCCCTGTGAGCCTCCTGAGAGGCTCTGGTGAGGGGACTCTAGAGCCTGGTCCTAGGTTAGAAACATGGGCACCTGGTCTCTCCCTGGAACTCCCACCGGAATCCTTCTCTCCCACACTGTGTCTTCTGCTCTCCACGGGACCCTCTGTGCATCCTCAGTGGCAGAGAAAAGAGCGTAGATTTCCCTTCTCAGGTTCCCTCTTCAGTCAAGTGGTCAGGCTTAGTGCAAGCACCTCACCCACTCAGCTGTCTGCCGGTGCGTGTGACAGGAATTCGAGAGTGCCTCCAGCTCTCACGAAGCCGAGAGAGTATTCAAGATGAGGAGGAGGACACACATTATGGGCTATCTCCAAATGATGCTCCAGGGAGCAACTACATCATGTGGACCAGGACGTGTGTGTGTGTGTGTGTGTGTATGTGTGTGTGTGTGTGACAGACACAGACTCCCCCTCCCACTGGAGGGTCGGGAGTCATCTCCCAGGACACTTTACACTTTAAAAATGCCCCTTGCAGATGAGATTTACTTGTAGAATTAGCAGATTCTACTTTTTAATTTTAAAATTTTGTTTGTTTTATTGAGATCAAGATACATGCTCTGTAGGGAAGTTGGAGGATATAAAAGCTTACGAAGGGGCTTGAGAAGGACGAGGATGAGTTGGTAAAGGGCTGGTCTGTAGGTATGAGAACATGGGTTAGATTCCCAGCACCAACATAAAATGCTGGGTGCGGTGATTTGTGCCTGTAATCTCACTGAGGATGTGGAGACAGGTGGATCCCTGGGGCTCCCTGGGGAGCCGACATAGTCCCATCAGTAACCCCCAGGGCCCAGTGTGTGAGACCTCATCCCACAAAACAAGGTGGATGGCTTCTGAGCAGTGACATCTTCTGGAACTGACCTCTTCCCTCCGCATGAATATTGCACACGGCACACCCCCACCCCACTCCAGCCCACCCCCACACCTACAAGAACACAAAAGTCACCTCTGCTCCATCAGGGAGATACCATCTCTTAAACAAGAAAAAAAAATACC